AAAAAAAAAAAAAAAAAAAATAAAAATAAGTCACCATAATTCTCCAAAGCCATGCAGATGGCAAACAGACACATCATCACTTATCATCAGGGGAATTCAAATCAAGTCCACAATGAGATACCACCTCACACTGGTGAGTATCACCCACACAGAAAAGACCAGAAACAAGAAGTCCTGGGAAGGATGTGAAGAAAAGGGATCCTTTTTTTTGGGTTCTACACTGCTGATGGGAATGTAGATTGGTCTAATCTTTATGATAAACAGTGTGGAGGTGTCTGAAAAGATTAAAAATGATTCTGCCATACAACCCAGTAATTCTGCTCCCTAAACATCTACCTGAAAAATTAAAAAACACTAATTCAAAAGGAGACTTGTACTCCCATATTGTTTGCATTGTGATTTATAATAGCCAAACTAGGGAAACAACATAAGTGTCCCCAAACAGATGAGTGGATCAAACACATACAGGATATTACTCAGAGATCAAAAAAGATGAACTCAGGGGCCTCCCCGGTGGAACAGAGGTTGAGCGCTGGGTTGTGAAGCTGCTCGTAGCCTCTGCAGCAGCGGTTCGATCCCTGGCTGCTCCCGGGCCACCAGAGAAGGGTCCCACATGGCGCGCAGTCCTCTCCTGCCACCTGCTGCTCCCCTCAGCAGTGTACTTCAGTCCTTCTGCCTGCTCTGCTCCCGGCTCTGGCTCTGGTGACTTCTCTCACCCTCCCGCGCTTCTGACTCTACCCAGTGCATGTATAAATAAATAAATAATCTTAAATAAAATAAAATTAAATTAAATTAAAAAAAAATGAACTCGTGTCACCTACAGCCACATGGATGGAACTGGAAAGAATAATGTTAAGTGAGTAAAAAAAGCCAGATGGTTTCACTAATGCAGGGTAGAGATAAGCCAAACGAAGAGTCAGATGAAGACAAGCTTAAAAACTAACCATGAATGCCGACTAGAAAACTGAAGCACCAAGGTAGGAAGGGGCTGGAGGAGAAAAAGGAACAAAGGAAAGTAAGCACAACAGATTATGAAGGTGGATAACGGGTGATTCTGTGGCAGGTGCACTACAGTAGTGATACCTGATTGGGGGGTGCTATTTCCTAATGTTACCTCAATTAAAATAAATAATTAAACATATAAAAATCTAAGTCAAAAAATGTTCCTTTTTAAAAGACATGTTTAAAGATTTTATAATCCTTCTCTGGCAACAATCAAGTTTCATTAGTTCAGAAAAAGAAATAACATTCCAGTTTCTAAAAAAAGAAATCTATTGTGTGTGTCCTATAGGCCAATCAGGCTCATTTGTGAAGTCTATGGGTCCCTCCTGAGAAAGATATTTTTGAAGGCATAAAATAATTTATGAAGTATTATAACAAAAATAAAAATATTAGAATGCAACAATCAAAATATATTTAATAAAACAAAATAATATAGGAGCCTCTGCGTTAATTCATTAAAAGATATTATTGAATGACAGGTCGAACAACTATCACAATTACTAAGTAGTGAGGAACTTTTTTTTTTAAAGATGTATTTATTTATGCATACAAGAAAGAGCTGAGGTGCAGGCCACAGGTGTGTGTGGGGGAGGATTCACCAGAGGCAGAGTGGGGAGCAGAACAGGCAGATTGACTGAAATACACTGCTGAGTGGAGCAGCGGGCAAGACAGGAGAGGTCTGTTGCACCATGTGGGTAGCTCCCTGGCTGGCCAGGGGAGTGGACTCGTGCTGCAGTGGCTGTGGACAGCTTCATAGTGCTGACACTTAACCCCTTGTGCCACCAGGGAGGCCCTGGGAACATAACTATCTTAAGGTTATATGCAATGTGATCTAAAGAGTCACAGGTACTGCTCATGCTACTGTGTTTTGTCAACTATATTCACAGATGGTGAAAATTTTTATTAAGAGGTTAGTGAAAATAAAGTGATTTTTTTTCTGAACCAAGTTCATGACCTCTTTGAACTCCATTATTACAGGCACAAGATTAAGAAAATCTATACCTCAAACTAGTATATCACAGGTGCATAATTTTTTAAAATTTTTTAGTATTTTATTTTATATAATTCTAACATCATTTTTCATTTTTGCACAATGTATGCATTTTCATTTTGGTTATATTCCCCATACAATTGCACCCCCCCTTATTTTGACCCTAATATTACAGGTGCATAATTAATTCATTGAGCGAGTACTTTACTTTGATAATCAGGTTACAAAATTATTTATTAAAAAAAAAAAAGGGGGCCTCCCCGGTGGCGCAGCAGTTGAGCGCTGGGTTGCGAAGCTGCCCGCAGCCTCTGCAGTGCTGGTTCGATCCCCGGCTGCTCCCCGGCCACCGGAGGAGGGTCCCGCATGGCACGCAGACCTCTCCTGCCGCCCGCTGCTCCCCTCAGCAGTGTACTCCGGTCTTTCTGACTGTTCTGCTCCCTGTTTTGGTGAATTTTCTCACCCTCCCACACTTCTGACTATACACAAGGCTTGTATAAATAAATAAATAAATCTTGAAAAAAAAAAAAAAAAAAAAGGCCTCCCTGGTGGCACAGGGGTTAAGACAACCTATGAAGCTATCACAGCCACTACAGGGTGAATTTGATCCCTGGCCAGGGAGATGACCTACATGACGCAGCAGACCTCTCCTGTCTTGCCCACTGCTCCCCTCAGCAATGTATTTCAGTCAGTCTGCCTGTTCTGTTCCCCACTCTGTCTCTGGTGAATCCTCTCACTCCCCCCATACACCTCTTCCCTGTACCCCAGTTCTTGTATGCACAAAAAAAAATAAAATCTTTAAAAAAAAAACAAAAGGCTCAGAATGCCTTTTTCTCTTTCTTTAATGAAGGTTTTCACTGAAAAGTCAGTTTAATTCATTATGTGAGTGATAGCTATCAAATACAATGCAGTATACACTGCATGTATTACATGGAAACACAGGTATTTAAAAAAAAAAAAAAGAAAGAAAAGCCCTAAAACTGACATGATATTTTATACTAAACACTATGTCCCTTATCCTTATCACTAATGTTTTAAGATGAAAGTTTTATTTTTACAGATTGTTTTTCATCAGGTTTACATTTTCTTATTTTAACAGTGTAATGGATTAGTTGATCACTTAAACGTTTCTTCTCAAAATCTTGAATGGAATTCAATTTGCAAGGACACCAAATGTGTGTGTACATGAACAGTCAACATTCTCACCCTCAGTGGCTTTATTTCTTGTACAGACTATAAGTGATTGGTAGTTACAGACAATGATTATTTAGGAGATAAGGCAGAATTACAGATCATCAGGGACTAGAGGGGTCACTTTGTCTAACCCCTTACATTACAGATGAGGAACTGAAGACGATGAAAGATTAAAGGACTAACTTGGGAACTATGATGACCACAGAAAAGCTAGCGTGATAGTTAAGATAAGGCCACCTTCCCCACCACTCAACATAGCAATTCCTGTTGCTGGGTCTGCTTCTATCAAAGGATAGCTACTAAAACAAGACATTAAAACCAATTAGAAATACATCTTATTTATAGCTTTTTGCTTCCAAATATGAGAGACAGAAAAGAACAGAGGTTCTGAATGAAAATTAAAAGATCAAAAATTTGTTCTGAATAGTTTTCAAAGTCTAATTTATTAGCAATGTATTCTGACCACTGAAAACTCAATTTAGATATATCTAACTAATTATTTAGATGGCCCTTTTTTAATATCTAAAATGAATATACACACACATAAATATGTACAAATGGAGAGGAAAACAATAAATAGCTGTATCCCCAGAGTCCAAGATAATATTGGTACTATTTCAGCATATTTCTTTCCATATATATGTATATCTAACTATGTACATATATGCTTATACATCAAAATAGTATTGTGCATGAAATGGTATATCCTGCATTTTTTCTTGGGATTGTACCATGAGTATCTTCCCACTGAATTAAAATCATTTCCAAAACATCATTAATGTAAAAATCTTTCTTTGTAGTCATTCAGTAATAAAGTTTAAAGGTGTTATAATTATCTCATTCACTGACCTAGTAACTCCAGTGCATAAAACTGCTCGAAATAAGAATCATTTAAAATATTTACAAGGTAGTAATTTGAAAATTATAAATGCAAATGGCTAAAGTCATTGAGGAAAAATTTATAATATCCCTTGAAAGTAGAAATTAAAACTCAAAGAGATACTATTAAATTTGGAAAGATTCATGAAAGTATTGCAATAGAAAATCTTTACAGAGCTCATTAAGTCATGATGAAATAGCACTTGTGCAAAGGACCCAGTGATACATATAAGCATGTTGTACTTGACATAACATAGGAGTTCAATACGTACTTGCTGGATGAATAAATGGGAATCAATTTACTAACAGGAATCAAGACCCTTGAATATGATTGTACTCTCTGACTATCTTACTTAAGGGAATATATATTGTATATACTTACTGCAGTTTCCTTCATGGTGAAAAATTGATCACAACGAAATGTTCAAGACTAGTGGTCACGTAAATGATGTAGGCATAAAGAACCATTAAGTCCATTTTACAATTAATTTAACAACTACAATAAAAATCACAAGTGTTGTACCTATAATTCTAGCTTAAAATATTGGTGTATTTAACCTCTCGGTATAAGATTTATTCATTGTTTTAATTAAATGCTTATTTTTAAATTAAATGCATTTTTCAAAAACTGTTTACAAGTCCAGATGAATAAACCATTATTATCCTGCCAAAACATACTCTAATAATCAGTCTTAAAAGTGTTACCCATCTGCTTGTCCTCGTAAACCACAGAAGATAAGGAGTCAAGATTTTATAGTTATGAAAATGGGGAGAGAGGTCCTGACATCCCATTTGATTCTTACCTCGATATAGATTACCCTAATATTTCCTCTCACCTAATTGTAGTCAAAGTATTAGAAAATTTGTTAAAACGGATACACGGACATACATAAATACTTTAAGATAGAAACTCAGAAAATAACATAAGTCACAATACCGTTTTAAGTTCTGGTGGCTCGCTTCCTTCTTCCACCACAATTAGTTGAGCTCTTCCTTTTCTTTCATTGTCCCGAATGCCAATGGCAACCTGACTTGCTTTCAGACGCTCATATTTGTTGCATGATGAGCCACACCACTGGTAAATTTCCTACAAGAGACAGATGTTTTGAATGACCCCAGGAATATGTGCACACTGGTCAACCCTGTTTGGATTCATTAGAAAAAAATAAAAGCTATGAAAAATACAATCATCTATTGCTGCTGTATATGTGATTTTATATTTCACTTGTATCACATTCTGTATTCTAGCATTATAAAGTTAAGTGTTGAAACATGGACAAAGTAAATACTTATCTCACCACTGTTTGTGTATACAGTCCAATAATTATGGCTTATGAAAGTATACTCACGTGTTTCTTCAATTTAAAATAAACCTACCAAAAAATTAAAATAAACTTACCATAAATGTAGTCAGTAAGTTATTGTAATGAGATACTCTTGGTGATCATAAAAACTGATACAAAAATTCAAAGTAATTAAGCAGTTCTTATCAAGAGTCATTTTAAGACGTTAAAAACCTTAGACCTAGAAATATCACTATATGGTATTTATTTCAATAAGCTTTTTATAAAGAGAAGGAAAAAACATATAAATTAGGGTTTTTATTACTGTGTGATTATATTAATGAGGCATTATCTTAACATAATAAAAGATATTAAATGCTCAGATAGGATAATTGTTATATAAATTAAGATATAAAGGAAAACAGCAGATACTTTATCAAAGTTATACTTTAATATAAAAATTTAGGAGGAACTGTTTACATTGTATACCAAGTAGATTATTGTAGGGTAAATGGTTTTTCAGGTTTTTCTGCCCTCCCATCATTAGGATTGCCCTGCCTGATGGTGCACCTACAGTTGTTACATTGTTGCAAACTATCTTATTTACTTCCCTGGGCCATGGGAGGAGTATTGAGGTAGTCACCAAGAGAGGCAGGAGAAGAGAAGTAGGAGAGGAGAAACAGGAGAGAAGCAAGAGAGAGAGAGAAGGGGAGAGAGAAGGCCAGAGAAGCCCAGAGTGAAGACTTCCCTGGGGCCATGTACCTGGTTGCTACAATGCATGTAAAGCTCAAATAAAAGCCTGAGAAAGCCACTGAGGGCTCCAGGACTCTTCCTTTACCCTGTCTGCTCAGATCATAAAATCTGCTCAGTGGCCCATCCTGCCCCTACAATTATAACTGCTATTTAGATTAAAGAATGCTAGAGGTGGGGGCCTCCCTAGTGGCACAGGGGTTAAAGTCTCAACACTACCAAGCTATTGCCAGCCACTGCAGCCTGAGTTTGATCCCCAGCCAAGGAGCTGACCCACATGGCGCAGCAGACCTCTCGTGTCTCACCCACTGCTCCCCTCAGCAGTGGATTTCAGTAGATCCGCCTGTTCTGCTCTCCACGCTGTCTCTGGTGAATCCTCTCACCATTCACACCTCTGGCCTACACACAGTTCTTCTATGCATAAATAAATAAAAAATAAATCTTAAAAAATATTTCAGAGGCATACAGAGACAAATATTAAAATAACAATGTCACTGTCTGCATTAAATATGGTTTAATGAAAGAGAACTTGACAGTACCCAGGTCTGGTGGGTGTGGGAATAGGCTTGTATAAACTGGCACAGGCTTTTTCCAAGGGCAGTTTGGCATCATACTACAAAACTATACATACTTTTAAGATCTCTAAGATTTCTAAAAATGGAATTTAAAAATGGAATTTTAAGAAATCTATACTATAGAAATACTCAAACAAAAAGGAAACAAAACAGTAATAAATGTGCATCAATAACCAGAATGCTCTTAAATGTTAACAATTCTTTCATGGTGAAAAATTGAGGAAAATGTTAAACACTGATCTGAAAATTTATCCACGTTACATTATCAAGAATAAAATAAAATCAGAATAATATAGTTGCATTTAGGTAGAAATGAAAACATACATCTTGTTCTGTTTGAAGACAAATATTTTTAAAGATACAAGTTAAGTGGAAGCCAAGGGCGTGTATATGCAGAACAAAAGCCGTCCATTGTTACTGTTATCTAAGTCACTGTTTTTCTTTCTTTTTATTATGTCTCTCATATTTATTAGTTTCATATCATGAACAAGTTGCTAGGCACAGAGAAATGAATAAGAAAACTAGCAAGGAGAGATGACATGTAAACAACTAGTGCTCACCATATATTATTTCTATGGGGACTACACCTGAGAAAAGAAAGCAAACATTGTTTAAAAATTAACAATGATGTAACAATGATGTAAAAATATGGTCAAATCATATTTTCAAATATCCTTTAGTCAGTTTTGGAGAAGGAGTTGCAGGATTTAAGTATGAAGGAGATAGACCCCAGCAGTGACTTATTGGCTATATGACCTGATGTTTGCAATTTTTGAAAAGAATAAGTAAATTAATAAGAAGATAATAGAGTGCCCAACCATTCAAAGAGACTGGTTCTTTTTCTGATCGGAAGACATTTTGAATCCATAGTCATTTCTTCATTCATTAACAGTTGACTGGCTGTCTAAAATGAGGCTAGCTTTTTAGCAAGCCCTGCAGGGCACAGCTTAGAACAATGTGGGCCTGCAAGTCTCTGTGAGCTCCCACCCCACCATGTTTCTGATGGACCTATGTATGCCACATTCCTCTCTATGAATATAGTATAAATGTTAGGGATTCAAGTCTTTGTAAGTAGCAAAATAAATAGGACTAAGATTGCGATTCCTATTACTTTAGAATCTGATCCGATTACTTCAACAAGGTGGAAGACTGTTTCTAAGTGAATCCAGCAGTTCTTCTGTTTCCTCTCTTACTTCTTTCCTGTATCTGCATGAGTCTCACTTTTTTTTAAATTTTATAAATGGTTGTTACATCATACATGCAAAAGTATTAATTTTATTATATACCCTTTAAACAACTGCATGTAATATGGTTTGACAAAAAGGATCAACTGATAATTCATTACCACTAAATAGTGTACCAAAGATGCAAGCTTGCATAGCAAAATCATAGGTAGAATGTCTAAAAGAGCTCTATAGATATAGAAAAAACTTATTGAGTCTCACTTTTAGAAGCAGCTTGAATACCAAGCTCAGATTAGCATTTGCAAAGAGAGAAAAACAGTTCTCAGGGATTAAAGCCCACGCCTAATCACAGAGCTTGAAAATCAGATAGTGGAATAGGAAGATGATTTCTAAACATACAAACATCCAATCCCTGTCTTTAGGGGACACACTCTGGGCGTTGTGGGCAGCATTCCGGTGCTTGCATGCTTCCCAAGTGCTTGCATGCTTCCAGCACTTAACCAGGACTGAGACCTTAGCTGGCCTTCCTAAGCACATCAGACCTGGCAGATATGACAGGGAAACTGTAACATTAATTTATCCAGTGTAGCCAAGCAGGTGGCTGCAGAGCATGTCAAAGACTCTTAGCTCAGTTTCCTTATCTACCTTATTTCATGAAATGTTGAAATGATTATTTTTCTGTAGGTCTGAGAAAGATAATATCTAATATTCACATTACAGTGAAATACAGGAAATACATCAACAGCCACTTGTTTTCTAGATTTCTCAGATGTATTAGCAACTTTCATTACTGACTTGCCCTGTATTTATATAATCATCTAACATATGTTTATGTTCTCCCTAATTTAGTTGTAGAAGTGACCTCTCATTTACTTCAAAGAGATTACATAAAATCACAGTAAATTTTATTAGTATCTATAAAACAATATGGAAGCTTGGTAAATTAACCATGTATTATAGATAATAATTTCACAAACATTATTTAATGCATAATTTTATAATATTCTATGGATCCCAAAATATTTTCTAGAATATTGCTTTGGGTTGGGAACTTTTATGTGCCTTACCAATTCATAGATAAATTTAGTTGTAGAAAATATTATTCACCATTGCATGGAAATCAGAGTTTCTACCTTTAAAATAACAAAAATAGGGGCCTCCCTGGTGGCGCAAGGGGTTAAGACGTAACCTATGAAGCTATCCGCATCCACTGCAGCACGAGTTCCATCCCCGGCCAGGGAGCAACCCACATGGCACAGCAGACCTCTCCTGACTTGCCCGCTGCTCCCCTCAGTAGTGTATTTCAGTCAGTCTGCCTGCTCTGTTCCCCAATTTGTCTCTGGTGAATCCTCTCACCACTAACACCTCTGGCCTGTACCCCAGTTCTTGTATGCATAAATAAATAAATTTAAAAAAATAGCAAATGTATCTCTAGGAAGTACTCATAAAAACAAAAATAAAGATTTAAAAAAAATAAGCTTCCCTTTTAATGCAAAGATTACTCAATCACTAGGAAAGTTTACAGAAAAATTCCTATTAAACATGAAAATGAATGTGTGTGTTATACTGTCTTTTTTATTCTTTTCAACTTATTTTATGCTGCTAATTTTATTAAAATGACATCTTATTTACTAGACTTAATTTCCAATGGTTAATTCATATAAGAATGCAATAAAATATAGGTTTTCATTGTAAGTTGTTAAAAATCAGAAATGTTCAGTCACAGTAATAAAATGCTAATTAATATTTTCAGTCCATACTAATTAATAGTTTATGTAATGTCATTATTTTGACTAAAACCACAGTACATGAAAATATGATTTAAAGTTTTAAACAGAATTTTAACAGTTTATTAAATTTGACTAATTTATAGGTTACTATGTGGGGTGATAATTTTAGAACATCTCATTTTAACAGAGCTCTACTGTGCTGACATATGAGAATGTGGATAGTACTATTAATAAGCTGTACTGCCAACACTTACTCTATTCAGAGGTAGCTGGTTAAGACTACTTCGCCACTCTGCACAGGAAACTGCACTCAATTGGCACTGAGCTTGAAAAACTCCTATAATTCAACTTATCCTGCCATTCCAGGGAGTGGGCTGAAAAAAAGGAATTTTCTATGAAGCTAAAAATCTCTGAATTGATGTGGTAGCCTGATGTGTATTTTACAACAGAGAAGCTTTTATTGCACTTCAAATTGTTTTACTTATATTACATTGACGGGAATTTGATGACAAACTTCATAAATGTGATCGCAGTGTACTAGAAAGAGAAAATTATAAAGCAAACA